CTCAGGAGATCAAGCGCCAGTACAGAAAGGACAGGAAGACCTATTACACTCTGTGCTCCCCATCAATTATCCTGGCACTCAGGCTGATAAGCCCGATTTCAGCTCCACGCAGCAATTGACCCATTATGACGGTGACGGTCACACGTATTATGATGTGCAAATAGCTTAAAATTTCTTTGCTCTGAAGGTTTCCTCCCATTTCTGGTGACAGGCATGCAGGACGAGGGCCAAACTACAAGCTGACAGCAACTTTTTTGATTGTCGGACCAAAATCACGTGCTGCCGTTTGAAGGATTAGTAGTCGAGCAGTTCGTAATTTTCTGTCATGTAATTTAGCAACATAGTGCTTGCCATTCAGTTGGCTTTAAAAAGTTACTCCAACCAAACTTGTTGAATCGTCAGCTGAAACCGTCGCTCATCACAAATAGATGGATCTTTTATTCTAACCAGTCTAGAAGTATAAATAAGAGTTTTATTTCTACATTTTTCCTGTATTAATATATAATTTGTACTCATAGCCTCAAATGTATTCAAACAATACAATGTATTGCTTGAGAATAAGTATGTGGTGTCGTACATCTACCTGTTTTGGATTATAAAATTTAAAAAACGCCCTTATCGCAGTTATATGTTCATTATGCCATTTTTTTTTGTCTTTCCTTCAAAAGTAACAAGGAAAAAGGCAACAAGAAGGCTCCTCCTTATCAGTGTATGCTTCAGTGCAGTGATTGAATGAAGCAGCAGACCCACAGGCCTGTACCCTTTGATGATGGACTCAGAATCACTGTCACCAGTGCAACCAGTCATGGATGTAATGAGATAATCATGGCAGGGCTGGCCTCTGCTTTAAGCTTGCCTTTGGCATGTGGGAAAAACACACTGGGACATTATGCTAGCATTCCAGTTTAAGCTTAAGAAATTGGACTTTGCCATACTTCTGTGTGGTGGAGTAATGGAGCACCGCAGGGTCGTGTGTTTAGCCCACTCTCACTTTTCTTTGTCACATGAGATTGCAGACCTACGTATAATTTCTAAATCATAATCAAGATTGCAGATGATGACACCACTGTTACAGGGCTGGTAGCTAACCATTTTGAGCCAGCTAGGAGATGTTGACATAAGTGACCCAAAGCGAACCAATAAGCTAACTTACCCAAAAGTAGGCGAGAGGAAAATTTCTCTCCTGCCCAACTGTGTCAATCTGTGAAATTTGTCTACAACACAGTGAGTTCATTGGTGTCCACATCAGCAGAGACCTATACTGGTCCAACACAAGGAAGGACTTGAGGGACTCAAGGGTATTGTTACAGCAGTTTGAGTTTTCAGGCTCAACTGTCTCCTTTTCACAGTTTGCTTCTGAACTGGGGAAGACTTAAGATAATCAAAATCATCATACTGGGAGTCAGTCCTGAGAACTACTGTTTTCAAACTAGTTGAGAAACACTGGTTAAGACAGACACAGCTGGAGGTGCCACCACACTAAGCTCCCTCAAAATGTCATAATGACAGGTTACCAGGACTCGAAGGCAAGCAACAACTACGGACACCCAATGCAGTTTAAAAGATTTATTGATCAATTAAGTGCAATGGAGAGGTGTAGATCAGTGGCAACAGGGAGGAACTGGGCCAGAGAAGGAACTGAGAAAAGGTGAGCGGTTAGACAGAGGAAGAATGACGGGAATGATGGTGTAACCTGGTGAAGGCTTACGGTTTGAGGGTTCAGATGAGCAGAGGAGGGTACATGGGTTTCTCAGCAGTTGGTGCAGTGAAGGGTTTCCAGGTGGAGGAGTTCCAGCAGGTAACTGAGGGTGGACAGGCAGCAGCAGGGTGGTGGTCGTGGAGGAATCCAGGGGCAAGGCCTAGAAGAGCAGCGAGGGTCAGGTAATCCAGGTGGATATGAATATCAAAGAGTGGTCAGAGCTGGTTCTAGGAGGAAGAAAGAGGCATCAGGGACAAGTTAAACACTTTAGATGCAGCACTGAGCGCTAGAGTACACCACTGTAGAAGCAGAACCATCAGGCATCTGCTTCCGGGAAGCTGCTCCTTTTTAAGGCCCTTGCTGATTGGAGATAATGAGCACCAGCTGGATCCCGTCAGCCCGCCACCCTGAAAATGTAGAGAAAACACTCCCCTGCAGAACCCAACACAAAAAGACACTTCAAAAGGTACTGCAGACACTATAATCTATAGAGCAACTACCAACACTTTAAAAGACTTCATTCTCCTCTACTCAACAAGTCTGGTCAGAAATAATTTAATCTCAAGAGACATTTTTAACCTTTCCGGTGAGATTTAAGTTACACCTGACAAAAAGAAGATGAAAGCTCTTATTTGATGTTTATTTTTTTTTTAAATGAAAAAGATGTAAAACATCTAAGAGTTTACTAACAGAAATATAATATCTATGATCATTGTCAAGAGTTGTTTTGCACACTGAATCATTCTGCGGGTTAAAATCAGATTCACACCTAATGTTTTGATATAAACATTAACTGTTAAATCTTGCAATGAATAATTATGCCTTATTCTTGTTAAATAAGAGAGCCCATATAAAAACAAAGACACCAAAATAACCTGCAAGATCATAAGCGTTGAGAAAGTGGATTTATTGTTTTTGGCCTAGACTGAGTTAGATAATAAACATGAGCTGCTCAGCTGAAGCGACGCAGAACAGAAAGTCTTGGGAGATGTAAGGTCAAAGGTCAAAAGTTGGTTCATGTTACAAGGTCCCCCTGGATTTAACTGGCTTCAAATAAAATAGACAGAATCTATATGACGCTTTTCTAGTGATGCCGCCCACTCAGGCTGCTTCCCACTGGAGCCACATTCGCCCAGTCACACTCACAGTGATACACCAGTACCCACACACAGCGACGTGGAGCAGGAGGAAGCTGAAACTGAACACACAACTTTGAGATTGCAAGACAACGTTTCTATGAACTACAGTCACCTGCAAGTCAAATTTAGCAGGATGTTCCATTGTATATAATTCTACAAAATACAAATTAGTCCAAAGTCGTCCAGGAGATCTGCTGGGATTCTTTACAGAAGATAAATCCCTGTCCCGAGTAGGCAGCAAAAACACAAACTGAGTAAAACCAGAATCAAGAAAGACAGATGTTTGCCTCAAACGGCTTGCCATGGCAGAGAAAAACAGACAGAAGCAGAAATACGCGTTTAACCCTCTAAGTCCTCAATTTAAATCTCCGCCTGGATATTTTTGGTTATTTTAATTGTGCACAGTTCTTTAAATGTAATGTGAGCAAATATATATTTGCCCATTTATCCATAACAACTGGAACTTTCAATATCTAGCAAGTTATTTTCACAATTTACCACCTATTAAAAGAGTGACCATCACATTAATTTCACTTCCTGCTGCGGAGGAGATGAAATTACCAAAATAACCCGACATTGGCTGGAAAGTGCAACTTCTCCCCTTTCAGACACCGTTTGAATTTTTCAGACAGCGCAAAGTGTGGTGGAATTACGGTACTGCAAATTTGTCTGGCCCATCAAGGGTTGAGGAAGTAATGTCCTAAAAGAAGCTCACTTCCTCTAGTGAGGACTAGTAAACTACAAAGTCCGGATCGGACTCCGCCCAGCTCTTTATACCAACAGAACCAAGTAACTACAGAACAATCATATGAAGGGATAAACAATTAGTGAACGCCAGCCAGGATCAATTTTCCTCTTAAATAGCAAATTGTACAAAGCTAAAACAACTTCAAAGATTTTAGTTCCTTGTTGGCGTTTCTGTTATATTACAGAAAACTGTTTGCATTACAGTCAAATTGACTTTAAATGGGACTTTGATATCTGCTGGGGTCACCGCAGGAAAATAGTCCTTGACATCAAACAATCTTTTTTTGTTTTTTTTCCATTTTCCTCCGACCGGTCCCCACCTCAGGCGTACGTCTGCCTCCCAAGCCGCTCGCTCTGCAGCTTCTCGACTTTTTCAGCACTTTCAGATGATGCTGTTGTTGGAGCCATTTATTTTAAGTAGCCATTACAGGCAATTCAAACCATCTAATTAATGATCTAGAAGTAATTTTAGGGACTATTGCTCTGTTAATAAGTAAGCTGGTTCCGTACCGAAGCCTTTGATGCCATGAGAACGAGGCTCCGTTTTTTATTTATTTTTTTACAGGCCCGGTTTGAAGAATAAACAGTGATGTTCTCCTAGACACACAGCTCCTCTGTGTTTGTGGATTCAGAATCAGGGGTGTTTGAGTTGGACTGGGAGACCTGCAGTGTTAGTCTAGAGGAGGCTCCGTTAATCCCTCTGGCCATGTGGGTGTCTGTTTGGTTTTCCAGTCACTGTTGATTTTGATCTGAAGCAGCTGAGGGTTTTTCTTTCCCCAGTATTGAAGTAACTTCTGAAATTTTTGCTTGGAAACTTCACGTTTTGGACAACTTTTACTTTGATGCTTAAGCCAGTTTCAGAATGTCCTTCTATATCCATTTGGTAACTTTTTACCCAAGAGATCCAACATTTGGTCTGTAATTTGCCTTAGAGTGAAAAAAATAGTTACTCAAAGGCTAAATTATTTATTTTAAGCAGGTATTTTAATGCGTTATGGAATATATGCACTACCAAAGCTAAATAATAACACTTTACTAATCTACTGAGTATTTATTTCAAATCTTCAAAGGGTCCAAGTTACCATGAACTTTAATTTGGTTTCCGGGGCTTTTGGAAAAGAATCAGACCCACAGCATCACAGGTCTTCCGCCATGTTTAACAGTTAACAGAATGTTTATCTTTTGCTTCCTGCCAAACCAACCAAAAACCTCACAGCTTGTCTCATATGACTGAAGCACCAGGTTCCAGTTACAGTCCAAATTGTTAGCCACACTTTGGAAAAGGCATAAAGGGGCAGTAGCCCAGGGCCACAATTTGGGGGCTCCAAAGATGTTTTTTCCTTTGATGAATGCATGTTTTACAAAGTGTTTCATTTAGTGATAAAGTTCCTGAAATAAAGTGATAACCATGCATACATACAGGTCCATTTATTGAATGTAAAGGGTCATTTCATAAACTCAATACGGTTTCTTTGCAAAAACTTTCTAGTTTGTCATAAAAATCGATAGGTTTCCTAATAGATTAGCTTCACATTTCATAAAATTTAGTTGAGCTAACAGATCCTGGAACTGTTGCTGGATTTTATTTTGATGTTTGCTGCCTTTCTTGCCCAGGGCCACATCCATGCAAACCGCTGCCGTGTGTCATGATCTCCGGCAACTTCTCCTCTTCGCTTGTTGTATAACAGCATCAATTTTCACGTCGGGGGACATGAGCTTGTCTGTTCCCGGGCTGCAGCCTGAATAAAACAGAGTCTCATTTTATATAAGTAGGTCCACCAAGTGAGCGTCTTTCTCTGTGGATCCCACCACAAACCAGTAAAAAAAAAAAAAAAAGAAGAAAAACGTCCACAGCTGCTTATCGGTCAGCGTGACTTTACTTCCAGATTAACTACCAAACTTCCCTCAAAAACCCCCCCCAATGATTCAGCAGGCAAGCTTGTTGTGAAAATTAGCGTTTGACTGGAACGGCGCGTCCTCCTGAGTGTTCATCCGTATCCGTGCAGTCAGCTGCTATGTTAACTCTGCGCAGATATTTAGCATCCAATTAAGTTGATGAGTGCTCATTAAGGGCAGCCACGTTTCTTAACTTGAGGCAATTAAAAAGCTTTTTGAGGGAAGGACAAGCTTAGTCAAAAATAAGTAAAAGCTTTGGTGAGGAGAACCTGGTCTTCAGGTGGCTGCGCAGCGATTAAAATCGTCATTTCTTAGTCCTGACTTGGTGCCTGTGCAGGAATGGAAAGCAGCAATTATGGTGGAAAATCGTTTTGAGTTTCTCTCTACCAACATCTAACTGGCTTTCCTCCAGAATGGTTGTGTTTTTAGCCCTGGGATCTTCCTTTATAAGCTTTTAAAAGATTTTCTGTCCTCATTGAATGAAGCATCCCCACACCATGATGCTACCACCACCATGCTTCACTGTTGGAATCCGTTACCCGAAAATATGTGCAAGAAAGCCGGTTAGATGCAGGTAGAGACCGTTATTTTGCTAAAGTTTAGTTTTGATCTCAGCTGATGAGGAAACTTTCTCCAACTTAAGAGTTTAGATCGGGCCAATCCTAAAAGACCCGGCCCGATCCGACTAGTTAACTTTAATTACAGTCAGCCTGAAGTAAACCTGACATATTAATTAAGATTTTACTGCTTTTGTTTTTAGACCACCATTTAAGTAAGCAGTGTAACTTCTCCCGTTTTTGCTTTTGTTCAACGTCTTCCAGCTCCATTTTGTCGTTTGTTGTTTGAGTCAGGTGCAAATCATCCGGGATGTGATTCACAGGATCCGATCCGCCGCTGCTCAAATGGAGATGCGTTCGAGAGCGCTGTGCTTGTTACGGCCTGATTAACTTTCTGTTGAGTAAATGCTTTGAATATTTCCTCAACAGGTTAAACTACCTGCTCCTGCTGATGATAAGTAATTAACACGACTTTGCATCATGCCTTCGTTTGGTTTTCTCTGTTCTCTATGTATTGAAGGATTGAACTCAACTATCACAGAAAACAAATACTTCGAGTCGGGCCAATAAATCCAAACTCAACTCCAATTGTGATCATCTTCCCTGTGCACAAGGAAGAAAAGCAACCCCGCACCATGACACTGCCACCGCCATGTTTCACAGTGGAAGTTCTGTTTTTGTACTGCGTCAGCTTGCCAAACTTCTATTTTGGTCATTTGTTTGCTGTGTGCACTTAACTCTGCCCAGCTACTCTGTGCCTGGTGAGAAAAGCCTTGTGCTGAGAAAGAGAGCCTGGTTATTGTTAAACTGCTCATGGCTCTGCACTGAATTATTAATGACACTGTGGCATGTCGCTGCGGAGGAAGAGTGCATATAGGTTACTCCCACTGAGAAAACAGAGGCATCACAGAATGAAAAGATATCCGTTATGACGCTGTATCTCTCCCATAACAACCAAGAGTTGCATCATCTCATAATCTTTTTCCCAAAAGAAAAAAAAAAAAAAAAGAAGAAGAAAAAGCAATACGAGTTTCTTTATCTAACCCTTATGTTGAAATCAGACTGTGGGCAATTAATTGGTGGAAAAGGGAAATAAACCTGTCAAATCTGACACCTGGTGATCCTTGCCGCTATGCTTAACATCAAAGCGGTGCTTCAGGTCCAGATGGGGTGTACGTCTTGCCTTTTTCTTGCTGAACGTCCATTTGAGGCGTCAGAGGAGGTTCAAATGTGTTGTTTCCACACTACAACACACAAACAGCTATTAACTTAGTCCATCCGGTCAGTAGTGTAGTTTTTAAGAGTTTCCTGATCTCTCAGATTTTCCTCTGGGATTTGCTTCGCATTGACGAAAGCAGAGCTTAATAGCCTCGGTTCACGACTTGTCGGCCAGCGAAGCTCTACGGCGTCTCAATCATGTCATAAACGTTTTGCAATTTTACCTTTCTCCCACCGTGATCCATTACCAGTTCTCTGATTACTCAGTAGTGCTTACTGAGCATCACACATTAGAGAAATCTCTTACACAGAACCACAAAATAAAATAAATAAATAAAAAAAAAAAAAATATATATATATATATATATATATATATATATATATATATATATTGTTTTCTTTCAGCTCGAGGCAAAAATGAGGCAGAACTCAAAGGTGGCGTTTGCAGCTGCGGTGTCTGTCTTCTCGTCACGAATCCTGATGGATAACAGGCTGAAATGCACATTTACTGTTGCCATCAAAAAAAAAGTCCCTCTGCTCATACAGATGCATCAACCTGAAGTTGTTCTACAGGAAAAGGTAATTTAGGCTAGTAGTTGTGGAGTACTGATGCAGTGAATACACTCATCCAAATCTTAATGTAAAAAAAACATAGGATACAAATTTGTAGCAGTTTTCTAAGGACTGAAAGAAGTCATAAATTAATGTGTAGTTCAAATGGAAAGATTTTTTTAGTGATTTTTGTTCCAATTTCCAACAATTTTAAGGTCCCCCCGGGATGACTCGTGAGATAATCTCCAGAGATATTCCTGCCAGAGCTCTGATCTGGTCACTGCAATCTAAAATCAGGAATGTTCAACATGTTAGATTGTCTTGGCCCAATATTGCAGCGTTTGGCATGTTCTGCAACCACAGACAAAGGCGGCCAATCAGAAACAGAGGTGATGGAAATATGGAGGGAAATCCAAAATTCACAGAAGACTAAACAACGGCCGTGGCGTATCACAAAGTCTGGTGGATTAAATATCGTCCACAAACTTTCATCATTGCTTCCTCCTTGTCGGCCATATTTGTTTACCCTGATCTCCTGTTCAGGGTAAAGATTTCCAGTCTGACATTTAAATGAGTGGAATCGGTTTGTGAACAACCAAACCTGTTACAGCCAAAAAATTTTAATCGTCATGTGTGCTGCGTCTCAGATTTTGAAAGCCGGCTGACAATTTTTAAATCTTACCGTGTGAACCGGGCTCAAGTTTCCCAAATGAGAACCTAGACAAAGACCAGAACTTCAGGAACAGAATCAGATGAGTCTAAAGCTGAATTATTTGGAAACGAGAAGAGAAAACACATCTTGCATTAAGTCAAAGAATCAACCGCATCCCAGCTGTTACCAGTACATGTGGACGTGCCTTGGTGTCGTGATTCTTTGATCCAGGAAGACGTGGGCAGCCCACAGAATCACAGAGTTGACCACGAATGGGACAATGGTACATAAAGAAAATGTGAGGCTGTGTGAGAAGAATGTGATCCGAAGCAGAACTGGACCCTGCGGCGTGACAGTGACCCAAAACACAACAGTAAATCCACTGAGGAGAAGCTGACAACTAAGAAATGAAAAGTGCTACGTCGGACTCAAAGCCCGGATCTTGATCTCACTGAGATGCTGTGGGGCGACTTGAAACGGGACGTAGATCCAAGAAAACCCTCAAACGCATCACAGCTGAAAGTGGGGCAGTGGTGACAGAGAACAAGGAACAGCAAATAAATTCATTGGAGTTATAAGTCTGAGTGTCCCAAACTCTGTTGGGAAATGATGGGACTATGATTTATTTATTCAGCCTTTGGCCTGTCAACACCAGCACATTTTTGTAAACAATTAAGAAAAAATGTGCATCATACTTTCATCTATATCAACTTGATGTTGATGTAAATCTAAATATGTAAGATTATATCATAAAACATAAGTTAAAAGACATTAGCTTGCCAATGTCTGTTAGCGAGCTAATGGGGAAAAAATGTAAAACTTTTCCCATTTCCAGAACCAAAACAAAGACTGAATTCTCACTGACCTGCATGTGAAACTGGAACACGTTTACTTATTTCCTCACGCTTGAGTTCTCCAATGTGGGTTTTATCATATCTTTGCTCCTCGGGTGTTTGCTCAGTGACCTAAGCTGAAATCTGTTGGATAAAATAACCGATCAATCGTCAGTCAGTTTCAGAACATCTCTCCATGCTTGTGGATGTGTTGGACATCCTGTTACACACACTAAAACGGGTTTTTATTTTCTTTCTTTTGCATGCAACACAGGAAGGAGTTTGGCAATAAAAAGCTGGAAATTAATGCGCCTGATATAAATCTGTATTGATCTCTGCAGATGTAAGTATCAAACAGCGTCAGAAAATAACCCAACACTTGTTTCTACTGATGACATCATCTTTTCATCTGCTCAGGAAAGCACATGAATTATGCAGCAGTATTGCGACCATCCATAAGCCAGGTTATCACCACTGAAAGTCTCAGTATGTAGGAAAATGAGGTAGCAAAGTTGTGGCGATGGGGAAAAAACGTTAAATTAATATTTAATCATCCAAACACAGGTGCACACCTTCTAGAAAGTTCTCTCATGCTTCCTGTTTACCCCAGCAGGAAGCCCTCCTACCTGGATTCACCTCACAAAACAGACCAGCACTTCCTGGACTCATTCCTCCACATCAACTTGTGTCTTGGTAATGGGAGGAATTTCACAATGTTTTCCAGTCAAGCTACATTAGTCGCCTCTCCTCGTCCTCGCAGCGGCCCTCCGGCCAGACTTAAAGAAACACCCTGGACCAGAAACTTTGGGTTTAGGAAACTTGTTCAACTTTCCTTCTGGTCTCCTGGGTTTCTACCATGACGCACATCCGTCAGACATGTGTCTCAAAATATGACAAATTCTCTTTACACATGATCAGATTCTACTTCCATTTAATTTATTTACTCTTTTTAATTATTACTTTTCCACATAGAGCTGCTTTATTATTTTTACTAACCATTATTCCACCAGGAAAATCTCATTGAGATTATA